TGCAGCACTGGGGTCCAAGGCCTGTGCGGGTCAAAGGAGGTGTGGCCTGAGCTGCCTGCATCTGCATCGACATACCTCCTGAAGTGTGGCGCATTGTGGTGGCTTTGAAGGGTTCGTTCCATGGTTCGACTACCTTCACGAAGGTGGTTGCTGCAGTCAAAGACCAGGAACTCCAACTGCTGGTGCTGGAACTCCAGAAGTATTGCTCAACATAGGTGACCGGTCGTCCTATGAAGCACCAAAGCTCCAGAACGGAGCCCTCAGCTCACAAACCCCAAAAAGTTGTTTATATGGACCCCCATCTAAAGGATATCTTGGGGTCTGCGCAATCTACTCTAAAACCACTGTAACTCTATGGATAAAGTAAAATCCAAAACCTCAGTCCTTCATCCCGCATCCCCTTCTTCTCCCAGTTGGAATCCGCCTCTGCAAGCAGCTCGCCCAACATCGCCGCACCACCCGACCTCTCCGCGGTCGTGGCTCGGGAGGTTTCATGAGATTTCTTCAAGCGGGGCTCAGTTCACACTGGCACGTTTGGGGCTTAGGGCAGCTTTACATAGGGAATCTCCAAAAGGGAAAGTGTGGCAGGGCCCCAATCACTGGGAGCCAGCCGGTGTCATGTATGCTAGCTGCCGAGGTTAAGGCCCCCAAACCTCCACGAAAATGCACCGGCCTGTTCTGCCACCGCTCATCCGCCATTAGGCCAAACAATGCTGGTGCCACCTCAGCATGTGATCGGTCAAGTCCAGGACGTCGTCAGAACAGGAAGAACAACTCAAACACACCATGTACTCAGATATGATCTACCAGTCGATGGTTCATAGCGCCAAATCATCACAATCCCTCTGGTCGGATGCTCAATTGTGATACGTTCACCAAGTCCCTCCCTTGTTGGGTCTCCTGGCGCTTGCCACGCTCGGTCGGGGTGCCGTAGCCCTTTGGAAGTGCATCATGTTGCCAGTAGAGCTCCCAGCAGGGCTGCCATTGGCCATGCTGGCTCCGCATCCTGCTCCCAACGCAGAAGGTGCATGGAGGAACTCTTGACAGATCAGTCCGAGCCTGCGCTGGATTGGGCACTAACAAACCTTAGCTTTCAAGTTTCAACTCTACCGAGAAACCGGAAAGGAAGGTGTACAAGCAAATTGAACAAGCATACCCCCCAACAAAATGTTCCATCTCATCACTTTTCCACTCGCCAAGACGCCCCAACCCCCTCAAGTTCGAGCTAATGCGTTCCACCGCGCCGCCTTCACTCACCTGGCGGGGATGCGTTCGACCACGGGGTTCGCAGAAAACCCGCCCTCCAGAAGGACTGCATATCTTCTGAGCGCGGAAAGCCGAGGGGCAAAGCGCAAGGGGTTCGCTGCCAGCGGCAGCTCCTGCAAAGCGAAGCGCTTAACAGCGTCCAGTGATGGAGGTGTTTTGGTGAGGTGGTGGGTGTTCGGTGTGTTGTTACTCTGTCCATCACCATCCTGTGCCCCGACCACCATAACCACGCCCCTACTCCGCCACCGCTCCTCATCTTCAGCTGAGCGAGGAGGTCTGGACTCGCCCGACTGCGCGGAGAACAAACCACCTCGGCGGAGCCGTCGCACAGCGGCCCTTGACAGGACTCCCAAGCGTTTCTGAAGCAAAGGAAAGGGAATGCAATGAAACTGCAATCTGTTGTTGGCATTGGTTCCCTCACCTCCGAAGCTCACCTTCTCAAACACCATTCTTGAGAGAGGCCCTTCACAAAGCAGTTTGCTCAGAAAACCGGGGCACTCTCTTGTTCCACATGGCCTACCAATGAACCATGATGCAAATGGCAGGTCAAATCCCGGACGCCGAAAGACTTACAATCGCAGCTCTTTTGAGATCCACGACTCCCAGTCTTGCCAAAGCGACTGTCAAGTTGGATCCTCTAAAGTGGACCCCGCCAACTGCCAAGAGTATCTCACCAAATGCCTAGAGTCTTCGAGAGTCGTCCAAGCGCGCAAGCGCGCTGGGTCTGGGTCGTCCACTTCTTCCTTCGCGTGGATCCACCCAAAGCCTTGGACTGCTGTTGGATGAAGACAAGCACTCGCGTTTGATGTGCATGAAAACGAAGACCTTCCACTGGTCTTCACGCGCCTGGCCACACACAAGAAATCCAATGGCGCTACCAAGTTGGTACGGATCTGAATAGGCTCCTATTTCTAACTTGACCAAAACCCGCCACCATGGAGACACTAGTGAAACCACACTGGCCTGCAATAAATCGTGATGATGACAAGAAAGCTGATTTCAAGACGACATCACAAAATGTGTCCATCAACAGTAGGCGCGTCCGTAAAACCAATCGGTGGCCCATGAAGCAAGGTGCAAGCGAAAGGCACGTTGTCATGAAGCGCATCATTGGTGAAGGAATTGATGACCACCAAGCACCAGCCAGAAAGCAAGTGTCACTTCATGAAACGTCATCAACGTGGGATACGCTCTTTGGGGATAATCATAGGTGCACCGCGACCGTGGTAGCCACCGCAAAAACCGCTTTATAGATAGCTGGACAAAATTCTAGAGCAGATCATCATCGCAGGCAAATGAATCGCCAATCTAGAATCTAGAGGTGCTGAACAAGCTCACTCTTCCACTTCCGCACTTCTACAGTAGAAATAAACATTCAACGTCATTCAACAAACCTGTGCCCCATCCAAACATGAGAGGAAACGGAAACATCATGTTTCCGCGAGACAGGGTATAATATGGTATGCTTGTGGGGGGCCTCTTCAACTCTTTTTGGACTCTCAGCCTCAAGAACTCCAAAGACATCTCATCCCACTTTCCACTCATCTCCCTCGCTTTCCGTCCAGCAGCGGTGTGGCTAGGCCCTTCTCTTCTTTGCCAAGCCCTTCGCCCTCCTCAAATGCACCAACAAAATACTTCAGTTGAAAATAATGGATTCCCATGCTGCACAAGAGTCCAAATGTCAAGACAATCTTGCATCTCACACCCCTATCACAACAAATCCACGCCAAAAATCAGCAATCCAAACCATTCTACTATTTCCTGAATTTGGGGCTTTAGACTGCAGCTCACGCCGGAGCTGATCTACAGGTGCCCTGGATCTTCGCTAACGTTGCTCACAACAGCTGGATTGAAAGCAAACATCTGCTGCTCCTTCCAGCCCATCTTTTGCAACATCTTGAAGCCAAACCCCTCCGAGATAGGGCGATACAAGACCTGGCGGCAGCAGGAAATCAGAGGACCTTGTTCAAGAGGACCTCACCAAAGTGAACTACCGAGCTGGGATGTTGGGTCAGTATGGGTTAGTAGTACTTATGTGGCTTTTGTTCTGGATCCTACCCACCAAGATCAGGCGACCCGGGCAGTCGAACTATGACCTTTCAATATACATAAGGTCATTCATCCAAGCTAGCCTCAGCGACAGGCAGCACTCAAAGGCACTCGCACAATCATGCACACTGTGGAACCATCACGAATCATTGAACATACTTGGCACCTCTTTGGCTTCAATCTTCATCCTCTTGATCTCCCCTGCAAACTCCGACTGGGAAGCAATGAGCGAAGTGGACCTTGTGGGTAAAGGCTAGGTGCACAAATGCAGCCATGGAAGACTCTCCCAAAATCTCGTCCTACTGCTACTGCAAAATGGACGGCGGTTCAAACGCACAGCAGCTTGCACCCCTCAATTGCCCACAGGTCCTTTGGTCGCAACCTCGGTGACTTCGAGCGAACAAGTAAAAAATAGATGCTGCCGCACTGCCAATGGCTCAGCCCCACAAAGAATTGCAGTATCAGATGCTGATCAATCTAGGAACCCCTTTGTTTCCATTAAGAGCTGGCGGTTGCATTGCATGGATACTTAAGATCGAGGCTGTTTTGAGCTCGCTTTTCTCATCGAGTTCCTGTTGAGCTGTGGAGCTTTGCCAGCATGATCGTGACAGGATTCCATGACTTGTATCCCTGTGTGATGGGCCCCACGCATACAGCAGAACACTTTGTAGCCTTCTGCTTTGTTGCCATGGGCTTTAAGCTTGCCCTCAATATGTATCGGAATGTATCTGATTATGATTATATATATATATACACGAAAAACGGTCCCACTACTCTAGCTTCTAGACCCATGACACTTCTCCCTATATAAACCAACTGGGACGGGGCACTATTCAGGTCTTCAACTAAGTTTCTTTCTGTTAACTATGCCAACCGCCAACGAGGGTGGCAGTGTGTCCTCCTTGTGACCGCCAAGCACAGGGAACAGGGTCGCAGTCTGGCCAGCCCTGGTCCTGGCCAGGAAACCGATCCACGAACCTGACCTTCTGAGACGTCCGAATTCTGTTCTGATATCTGTGGAACTACCGGTGCCTTGAGACCCAGATTCGGAGGATATTCGGCAGGGGATGTTCTGATAGGTTCTGGACATCTGTTCACGAAGACTTTTTAGGAGATGGTGTGCCTACAGTGTTCGATTCCCGCCATTCACAGCCACGATGCATTCCATCGGAGGTCCCAGAAATCATCAGAAGTCAAACAAAAAGCCTTGGAACAGTATATATGATGTGACCCTGTAAGCCACTCAAACACCGCAGTTGAGAAACAAGCTTTGATGCACTTCAACCCATGCTTTGATGAGTTTCAAAAATCGCCATGATTCAACCACTGCAACCCGGCGCCGCTACAACACGAAAACACAAAACATGCGAGGAACTCCATGGTCTGACATGATCACCACACACGCACACCGAAAGGCCTTTGCTGAACAGGCGAGACATTGACATAGAAACTGAATGAAACATCATGAAACGTACGCGCGCCATCGTGCGCCATGCTCATATGGGTTGTTGGATGATCCATGGTTTCCGTTCTGTCCGTCTCCAAGCATCAAAGAAAGGACCCTTTTGGAGCTTGGAGGACCCATCTCATCCTCCTCATCACCTGTCGACCTTCGACCGCAAACGGTGGGCTCTGTTTCCAGTCCTAAGGGCTTCATTCTCGCGGCGCAGCTTTCCGAGCTCCTGAATGCCACAGAACGGAGCACCCGGAGCACCGAAAGGGGACCATTGCAGCATGTGGCGTTGTTCAAAGATGTCCAAAGGCTTCCACGGTCGTGTCACGGTCTGAATTTGGCAAACAATGCAACAAAAGTAATGCGTACATCACTAGCAAACGCTGTCCTCCTGCAAGCTAGAGAGGGCGGAATGGCCATCATCCTTGCCAGCATACAGCGGGAGCTAGTTGTCCTTTCTGAATGTCGTGTGGGTGCCACCATCCTCCAAAAGATACATCCCAAACATCTATATCTCCGGGCTCCACTCACCCAAAGCGTTTAGACACACAAACACGCCCGCTGTCCCACAAAGTAAAACTGATTCCTAATGACTAACAACTTTGGATGGACCTTGTGGTAGTCATCTCTTGTTGGCTGTCAACCTCCAGAAGGATTGCAAGGGGCATGCACCTGGCCTCCTTGACCTTCAAATCCGTCGCATCTTTCGCATCCGACGTGACGTCGGTCTGGCCGTTTTCTGCAGGTTGATCCTCGCGATCTCCATTGTTCTCCGCCTGGACCAGGGCACCATTGGTGCACTGGCTAGCACCCTTATGATCTTCCTGTCTTTGGGAGCCACCATAGACATGCTAGAAATACGACGAAATACCTATCTCGGCGCCTCGCTCAACTTCAGCTTTTTGGTTGGTGGCTCTTCCACCTGCGCTTGCGCAGCACTGGAGAAAGTGGTGGTCGCAGTCTTTTCAGAACCTCGCTGCCGCTGATTCAACCAAACACAAGTCTTGGTTCAAAGCAATCTGTCATACCCAGGCATAAGCACTGAAGAAACGCTACACAAACACTGAAACAAAAGGAAGCGCCTCAAAAACTGACACACATATATATATATATATTATTTATATATAGACAGTATGTATACCTGGCCGTGTGGTCGGACCTTGCGTGATCCAAAGAGAAAAAGAAAACACATACACACACCAAGGACATCCAAAGGACCGATTCTTCTCATTCACCCCATTGCGACGGCGCACGCTCCCTGCAACTGCACCCCGTGTGTTCACCCACCAAATCGAACAACGCTGCTTCCCCGCTCCAATCCTGTTCTCCTTTAGCTGCACCAGTGACTTTTCAGCGGGCCCATCATCACCTTACTCCTCCCCGGTGCCCCGTGCGCTTCTGCACCTCCGAGCTGGCCGGGCTCATCCGCGGCGGGACGGCGGAGGCGGAGGCGCTCGGCCCTGCTTCGGGCTCCACCCGAGGCCTCGGAGTGTGAAGTGTTGAGGAAGAAAGGAAAGGGAGCCGTTGCTTCGTTCATCGGTTTTCTTCCTCGTGCTTCATGCCCTTTTCCAAAAGCTCATGGAAAAGGGCTTCTGATCTCAATTGCACGTGCTAGTGATCACTTTTCACATGCAACCAGCAGCCTCCTCATGTCTGCCTCTGCAAAATGCATCATGCGCGGCCAAAAGGCTTCGCCACATTTGGAAGCGGATAAATGCCGCCGCGCTTGACCTCGGGCTGAACCGCACCCGGTTGAGCAGCTGAAGGCGCTGAAGAGGCTGAAGACGCACCTGCTGGAGTTGGCTCCTGAATGTTGGCTTGTTTATCTTGAAAGACTGGTCATCTCCTCGTTGCATTCCAAAACTTCTTGTCTAGCCTTGTAATAGAAAAATATCAATATATAACTTGTCCTGTGAATTGTTAAGGGGGGAGCACAGGTTCCATGACACAGTATGCAAAGCCCCTGTGCATGCGATGCGTGGCGCGTCCGCGGTCCTGTTGGCGGCTGAGCGGGCCCACAGGCTGCAAACCAGCCTTGGCTGGCACCACCTTGGAACAGCTCCATCTGGAGCTTCAAACGCTGGAAACTGTTGCGGCTTTTCTTAGTAACATGGATGACCAAAACAGTTGCTCTGCAGACTTGCAGACTCTGTTCTTGCCCCAGCACAAGCCCATTTGCCCCTTCCAGATGCTTCCTATATGGTCCGGTGCACTAAGATAGAAAATGATAAGCATGCAAAACTTCTTTGTAAAATATATAGGACATGTTACATATTGACCAATACAGTACTTTCTATAGATGCACTCGCAGAGTCCATCAGAACATGTGCTTCTCTTGTATGTATATATGTATATATATGTATACGGAATCTCTATCGGAAGATATATGGCTGTTTGGTGCTTGTCTTGTTCTGAAGGAACCTTGCCTTGTTCATCATTCTACTTCAGATTTTCCATGTTCTGCCCTGCCATCCTCCAGCGAGCCGGTTGAGCAGCTGAAGGCGCTGAAGAGGCTGAAGACGCACCTGCTGGAGTTGGCTCCTGAATGTCGGCTTGTTTATCTTAAAAGACTGGGCATCTCCTCGTTGCATTCCAAAACTTCTTGTCTAGCCTTGCAATAGAAACATATCAATATATAATATATATATATATAACTTTTCCTGTGAATTGTTAAGGGGGGAGCACAGGTTCCATGACACAGTATGCAAAGCCCCTGAACATGCGATGCATGGCACGTCCACGGTCCTGTTGGCGACTGAGCGGGCCCACAGGCTGCAAACCAGCTTTGGCTGGCACCACCTTGGAACAGCTCCATCTGGAACTTAAAACCCTGGAAACAACCCATCTGCCCCCTTCCTACCCTTCGGGATTTCAGGAATGGCTATATGGTCCTGTGCACTAAGATAGAACATCACAATCATGCAAAACTTCGTTGCAACATATATCGAACATGTTGCAGTACATATTAACCAGTACGTTCTAGACTCGCACAGTCCATCAGAACATGTGCTACTCTTGTGTATAAGCTGTCTAAACGGTCTAAACGTATGTGCACAGAATCTCTGTCGGGAGATGTATGGCCATTTGGTGCTTGTCTTGTTCTGAAGGAACCTTTCCTTGTTCATCATTCTACTTCAGGTTTTCCATGTTCTGCCCTGCCATCCTCCAGCACTCTGCCAAGCAAAGTGGTTTCTCATTTGCTCTGCCAAGCAAAGAAACTTCGGCACTGGAGGGGAAACTCCGTTAGCCCTGGAAGCGACTGAGGCACAAACCATTGGAGGCACGGCAGGCACGGTCATGACTTGCGGCTTGGCCTTACAAACTGAAGGGATCTTAAGGGTGTCATGTTTTGACCCCCTGCCAAGGTTTGCTTGACCTAAGTTTCGCCGACCATGGCAAATTTTTAAGCATCACCCTCAACAGTTCAGTGTCCATGGAACCGGGGCCAGCCAACCTAAACGGATCAAAAAGGAGCAACGATGACGATACCTGCCATTCCTTAGTTTTCTGTCAAGTGTTCCTTCCATCTAGTGCGTTTATTCAAGAGTGTTGGGCGCACCTCCTCCGCTTCATCTTTTGAGTTTGCGCCTGGCGAGTTTAGCGTTCTTGTTGCACCCTTTGTGCCGGCTGTGCAGTGGAGTCAAATTGCCACTGCTGAAAGGAAGAGAACGTGCACTTTTTTTGCAGTTTTTTTGCGCATTTCGGAGCACTGTGAGTGATGGAGGGTCCAAGGCCAAGGATGGTCTGGAATACTGCATGGGGGATGTACATTCCATGTGTTACAATAACCTTGTCCTCATTGGTAAAGTGGATGCTCAGCCCAAAGTTGTTGGTGCCTGTGAAAAGTGAAAAGTGTCTTGTTTGGGGGTCGCTCTCTCTCTCTCTCTCTCTCGCTCTCTATATATATATATATATATTATATACAAAAATACAAGCACACACACACACACATTTTCACGCACACACATTTCTACTGTATATATATATATACACATACATACATGTGAGCGCCGGACAAACTCCGGTATCTCGCATAGGGACATTGCCTAGAATGGGTCGGCCCCCATCGTTTATGCGGGTTTTCATGCTGGCTGCGAAGCAGGCCCACTTGCTACCCTCAGCAAGCTTTGTTGGCGGCATAAAGCTTGCCGTAATGTGGCACGCCAACAGTGAAAGGACGAATTAAGTACAGTAGTGGTTGCACAAGTTGTGGGGAAGTTGCTCTTCCATAGCCACAATCATGTTCAAAGTGTAGTGGTTGCGCAAGTTGGGGGGGTTGCTTTTCCATGGGGCATGAACATGTGGGCATCGGTTGGCCTCGGTTGGGGCATCGGCTAGGCACTGCAGTGAGAAAGCTATCGGGCCAGCAGGGGGCTGGCTCTGGCAGGTCCGCCCCCCCTGTTTCCGGATACTTTCAACCTAGCAATTCCTAGGACAACGCCTTCTTCCCAGCCTGCAGTGAAGGCGTTCGCCAAGTGCTGTGTGGCCTGGAGGTTGCAGTGGGGGAGGCAGTGAGCTACAAGAATGAGAACTTAACATGGTCAAACTCATGGGTATCGCGTAGAGTATCTGTCTGACATGCCCCGCGAATCACGGCCATGGAAGGGATAACAGGCCCATTGGAGTGAGAAACATCGTTTGCACCGTTGCCGGTTATTTTCCTGCTCATGTTAGTGAGACGAAGGACAGTAACTGGTTAGAAACCCTGCAGGCAATTTTTAAGGGTCCATCCAAGAATCCTGATGCTTTCTTGGGCCATCTTGAGCCCAAATGTCGCACCTCGAACCAGCCAGTTGCTTCATCATGCACTGCTCCCCGATGAATATCCATTGTCATTCTGTTGGCATATATGTATTTCTATACCGAATATGGCTCCGAATCGCCTTCGAACTCGCCAGGAACCTCCAAACGCACTCACTGGGGACACCAACCAAGCTCAGCACAGGCGTGGCAGGCGTTGGCGCTTTGGCCGCGCTGGCCATGCCAAGCTCAGCTGAGCTCGCCTGCGCCTTGGCGGCGGTCGCAGCCTGGCCATGCAACCGGTGGTGCCAATGTCTCAAACGGTTTGCGGGCGGGGGCAGCAAAGTCATGAAAACAGGGTCCCATGGGCTAGATTCTGGTCCCATAGCATAAATAAAGAATGGTAAGAAGATAATTAGATCAACATATTATAGCTGTTCCCCGCGACAGCCACGAAAAGTGTGAAATTATTGGTTCTTCATGGTTCTTCAAGAATTGCACTTAAACTTTTAGCAGGCCGCTGCATGCCAGGAATTGAGGAACAAGCGTGTGAGGATGTGTGAGGCTTACATCCCACTGTAGTCTTTGAAACGTGGAGCTTGCACCCTGGAATTGCTGTGACACTGAAATATGGTGGTGCATGAAACCCTGGCTAATGATCTGGGTGTAAATTGAAGTTTGGGGGACGAAGAACTCATATGCGACGCAGAACGTGTCGCTTCGAAGAACAGGTACCGTGAGTGGTTCTTGCCCCAAACCATCGACACCGGCGCAAAAAGCTCCGGGTCCCTTGACCTTCCAGTCGTTCTGAACGCGCAAAAATATGCGCCACCGTGTCAAGCAGTGGCAGCAGATTGTGGATCAGATCATTGGCGACTCATCGATGAACATCGATCATCGAACGTGTGGGTGTGAAGGGAACGGAGATGAACGGAGTTCCTTTCGAACAATACTTGGACACAAAGGACAACAATTCTGATCAAACATAGTTCAAAATTTGGTGTCAAGTCACTCATCCATCACGGATATGGAATATTATGGAATGAACTGTCCAAACCCCCCACGCCTGCACAAATTCCTCCATCTCCGCTTGCCGCGCTTTTTCTTCCTGCCGCAGCGCTTCTGCGAAGGCTTGCTGCTCTGCTCTTTGCTGTCGCTGTTGCTGCTCCAGCTGGTCCTCAAGCAGGTGTCGTCATTTGAGACTTGAGACCCCACCATACAGGGCCAGGGCTTTGCTGCAGATTTGGTTGTCACCAGAAGTAACCCCCCCACGAGAACCAAGTCCAGCTGCCATGTGAACCCACTAAAGATATCAGCCATGAGTTCTCAAAGGGGTACACCTGAGCGCAGCTTGGTACATGCCCGATTTCGACTCAGCTCCTGAGCTTGTTTCTTGGCCAACTGGGCTGCTAAGGCTGCTCGTGCCTGGAGCCCACTCATGCAAAAAGAGCGCTTTTTGCGACCCTATTTGTGTAAATCTTTCGGGTGTGAAGATGGTGTTCCAAAAGGACCTGTCTACAACCCCAAAACATGACGATTCAGTTGCAAAGACTTGGGATTCAAAAATGACACCAAGTAAGAGCGTAAAACCAACTGTGTGCTCTCGATAGGTTCTGTATACCAATGTTTTAGCATAGCAGCTAAACGTTTGAAGAAACACAATAAGACTTATTATCAAAGCTTGA